CCTCTCCTCTCCTCTCTGAGGGATCTAGGGATGTGTCAAAGACCACACAGCCAGTATGTATCAGAGGCAAAGCTTGAACCCCAGTGTCCCAGCCTGAAGTTGCCTCTAACCACTCTACCATGCTGCCTCTCTCCTGATACAAAGTAAGCACTGAATAAAAGCTTGTGGAATGTGGTGCAGTGGAAGGAGCTCTGGCTCTGGAGTCAGAGAACCTGGGTTCAAATCTTGTCTCTCCCACTACCTGTGTGGCCTTGGACAAGTCACTCAACTTCTCAGGCTTCAGGTTCTTCTTCTGCAAAGATGTGAAGGTCGGGCCAGGTCATCTCTGAGGCCCTTCCACTTCTCAATCTATGATCATCTGTAACAGCATTAAAATTGCCTCTATCTCTCCTGGCCTGTTGGTTGTAAAATCAGATATTTTCTGAAGACTTTCTTTCCTCTTCCATTGCAGCCTTTCCACCTTGCATGCTACTGTTCAGTTAGGGCCAAATACTCCACCTTCTAATTTCTGCTTGGGGAAAAACAGTCAAATTAGCAGGTGTTTGTTTGCTGATGTGATGGGAAGCTGCCCAGTGGCTACTGAGCCAGCTAACAGGCATATCTTGGCCAAGGAAAGACTGAGGACAGCAGCCAAGAAAACAAGGAGTCCAAATAAAAAGAACCATGGGATTTGGGGCTGAATAGCTTAGTCTTGAGAAAACAAAATCACAGCCTGGAGGACGCTTCTCTTTCCACACATCCTCCTCTCTCTCCTTCCCTGGGTTCCTTCTCCCTTTGCTTACATTACAAATGTAATGAATGAGAGTTGCCAAAAACCACAATTATTTACCTGGAGGAGTTTAGCAAATGATTTGCATGGGGTTTTGGTTTGTTGATAGGGTATCTGTTGAGTTATTTCACTTGATTAGAAATGTAGCTTACATGCATCATTGGCATTATTGGAGGACATAGACAAGTGTCTCAATGACAGAGGCATTAATACCTTGCAATTGTGATCTATACCTTTGGAGAACCATACCCATACCTATAAAGAAAAGATCCATTGACTTATTGAAGTCCTAGCACATGGTAGATATAGATGATTCCCAGGTCTATGTAGCTAGCAATTCTTGATTTCTTATTAATATTGACATTTTATATTTTTGTAAATATATACCTCTTTCATTTAAGTTGTTACCTTTATTGTCATATAGTTTGGCAAAATAGGTTCTAATGATTTTTATTCATTCAAAGAACTGAATCCTGGAGAATTGATGGGTCAAAGAACGAATCATAGACCAATAGATAACTTCATTAAAGCAAATGACACTAATGAGAGGATATAACAAAATTTGTGGCATGCAGCCAAAGCAGTCCTCATGGAAGACGTGTATGTCACTGAGCTCTTTTATAAACTGATCACCATGTTGGCAATCAGCCAAAATAAATAAAAAACCCTAAAACCTCAAAGTGGTAAAATCAAACACTTCAATTAAACACCAAAATAGGAATTCTGAAAATCAAAGAAGATGTTAATAAAATTGAATGCAAAATTTAAGTAACAAATAAAACTGAACTTTTTTTTTCTAAACAAAGCAAAGAAATAGTTAATCCTAGACTCTTTCCTTTATATTCTGACCCTAAGTCCATTTCTTATCTATGGCAAAAGCGGTATCCTCTTTCTCCAATACTTCAGTTACACATTTAGAAATACATGCTTTTGATATAGAAGGTCACCAAAGACTTTCTGAAAAGTTAAAAGTTGATTGAGTATAAGCATCTGGTTTTCTTCTACGTGTAGTTCCTCTTTTCAAAGAATTCCCATATATAGCAGTGGATAGAGCACCCACTCTGGAGTCAGGAGGACCTGAGTTCAAATCTGGCCTCAGACCAAACACCTGACACTTACTAGCTGTGTGACCCTGCGCAAGTCACTTAAACCCAAGTGCCTAAAAAAAAATAAAAAAAATAAAAGAATTCCCATATATTTCTCTTTGGAGAGGCAGCTAGGTAGCACAGTAGTTAGAGCATCAGATTTGGAGTTGGGAAGATCTAGGTTCAAATCCTGCCTCAGACACTGATTATGTAACTGGACAAATCACCTAAAAGCTCTTTGTGTCAGTTTCTTCATCTGTAAAGTGAAGATAATAATATCACCTGGCCCAAATGGTTGTTTTGGGTATCAAGTGAGATGACATACCTCCAGTGCTTTGCCAATATTAAGGTGCTATATAAATGCTAACAATGGTGATGATGATGGTGACGGTTATGTTGGTGGTTAGGCTGGCTCTGTTGCCTTTCATCCAGTTGGCTATTTCCACTGAAATGTATTTGATAATCTAGTGCTTTGTAGGAGTGTCATCAGCTTCTCCTGGAGGGATAGATTTGGAAATCTCTTAGCGTACTTCATGTTTCTTGTAATTCTCTTGGGGAGGGACTGGGAAGAGCAAATTTACTCAGAAATATATTTTTTCATACCCCATTTTGGTCTTTGGCTTTAAATCCGCTGTCATCTCAGCATTAAAGAGATTCCAATTTGCAACCAGATATACATAGCTGCTATCCCTGGAAAAGAGTGATGATGCTTTAAATTTTGGTTTCTTTGTGGTGATTTACGTTAACTTCATGGTTCATCTGCCAGAGCCCAGCTAAGCATGGATGCTGCCATCCTCAATAGTTAAAGAAATGCCATATTTGTATCTCACTTTGGATGAGATTGTGTGTGAAGTTTCGATTAGGCCCTAATATAGAGTGAATTTTCTACAGCTGTTTCTTGATATTTATGCTTCCATAGCTTCCTTACTCTGAGGAGCTGTGTATGCTTTCTAAACGTTAAATTATTTATCCACCAAACAGCCCTCTGAAGTAGATAACTTGTGCCATAAAATGTTAGGGAATTGGTTAAAAGCAGACAAAATCACTAAGAGCCTTCAAGAACATAAAACAGTAAAGCTAGAGGGGGCCAACGAGAGAGCAATGATGGTAACAATAATTATGCCGTATATCTGTTCATTCATTATAGTTTTCAACTTCAAGTCAATTTATAGGATCAGAGGCTAAGATTGTAGATTTAGAAGGGAAGAGGACCTGAGAGTTCATTTAGTGCCAGTCATAATGGTCATAGATCTCCATTTGGAAGACACCTCTGGGGCCTAGTCTAAATTGCTCATTTTACAGATGACAGAACCAAGGACCAGAGTGACTTGCTTGCTCAGGGTCATACAGATAGCAAAGAACATTTCTTAGGTACCTGATAAGTGCTAAGGATACAAACCCAAAAATGAAATCAATCCCTTCCCTCAGGTAGCTTACATTCTACTGGGAGGAAGGAACATATAGACAGATAATTAAACTCTGAAACGTGTACAAGGTAAATGTAAAGTTATTTTTTTTAAGGGAAAAACGGTTAACAATTTAGTAGGGGTTGAGGAAATGTCCAATGAAGGGGGAGAACTTGGGGCAAAGCTTGAAGGAAGCAGTTATGCAACTATTGTCATGTTTAATTCTTTTATGGGAAGATACAGATCTTTTTATTTCCATGTTGCATCTAGGGAAACTGAGGCATGGGCAGATTAAATGATTTGTCTTGGGATACATGCTGGTTAGGATCATCAAATCATAGCTTTGGAACTGTATGGGTCTATGGAGATCATTTTCAAATTATTTTCCAGATGAAGAAACTGAAGCACTGATCAGGAAAATGACTTGTCCAAGGTCATGAAGGTTTTAAGTGGCAGAACTGGGCAGTCACTATATCAATCATGCTGTTTCCTAAAGACAAAATCACGGCTAGAATCTAGGTCTCCTGACTCCTCATCCAGGGCTCTTTTGAGAAGACTAGTGAAATGCAGGTGGATTAGGTCATGTCAAGACAAGAGCATAAAAGATTAGGGCTCTCTTCTTTGGGAATTGTTGGGTGAGCATGCCAAACTGACAGCTTCTTCTAAATGTCCTGTGCCCCACATCCTTCAGGGAAGTGAATTTTCTCCCTAATCCCTATGTGAAGCAAATAGACAAGATTGATTTTTTTGGGGGGGTGTGTGTGAGGGAAGGGAGCACTAAAAATGTGACACTGCATAACATGCTGGGACATTTCTATGTTAGAAGGAGATAACTGGAATCTGGCTTCCACTCGAGTTAATAATGCTGGGCAGTTTAAATGCCTCTGGCCCACTCCACAGTGCTGGTCTTTCTTCATCACCAGTCATTCAAAGGTCAAAGATCAGAATTGCTGGAAGTAATACAAGAAGGGAAATGGAAAACCTTTCCATTGTCGGAGTTATAGCTCAGTGTTCTAAACGTAAAAAGGGACAGTGGGTAAATGGAATTTGAGAATTATCCTTCTATAACATACCGAGGAAAACACTGTGACCTAATGGATAGAGAGCCCAAACTTAGAGCTGGAAGCAACATTAAATTTGGTCCCTCTCATTTTACAAATGGGGAAACTGAGTCCCAGAGAGGTGAAGTGTTGTATGGCTAGCACGTGTCTGAGGTGAGATTTGAATCAAGATTTTTCTGAATCCAACTTCAGTGCTCTATTATGCTCTACAGCTGACCTCAGAGTTAGGAAGCAGGGACCACGTTTGACCTGTAACATATTGTGGCTGTTGTATGGAACAGATGTTGTCACCTCTGAGTGTCCTAGGTGCTAATATGTGTTAATAGAGGAAGGTCCCTAGACAAATGAAATCCCAGCTCTGGTCATTCTCCCCCTCCTCACTCCACTCCAAATAGAGAAACTTATGTGGCTCCCAGGGTACCCATGAGAAGGGTTACAAAGGAGCTGATGTGGGTAGGGCCAGCTCCTTTTTGGCACACCTACCCCTTTCCTATTTCAGAAGATGTGAGAAGCAAGGCACAGGTTTCAATGACTATATCATTCATATCCCTGAAATTTAATTGATGATTGCCTGTAATAGAAATGAGTCCATGTTGAAAGAAAAGTGGAATTTCTTTGTGAAAATCTAGCCAACCACATTCTAGTCTGAGAAGATGTGCTTTTCCCTCCCATCTCATAGGACTTAAAATCTCCCGCCCAGCGAGATGAGATTGCGGGGGCCCGGGCTTCACTGAAGGAAAACTCTCCTCTTTTGCATTCAATTTGTTCTGCGTGCCTGGAGCATGATGATGTGGCCTCTCTCCGAGCCAGTAAGGACACAGTCTGTGATGAGATCCAGAATGCCCTCGATGTGATTTCAAATGCTTCACAAGGGATCCAGAGCCCAAAGGCTGAGCCAGAACCTCAGTCAGCCACACTGGGAGATGCGCTGGATGAACTTGAGGTAAGACAGTAAAGAAGCTGCCAGGAGCAGATGCTGAGATGTGTTTGAAAATGAACTTCAGTTAAGGCCCTTTGCAATCTGCTGCCATTCTGCCTTCCTAGTCTCACTGCATATTCCTTCCTTTTATTCACTCGGTGGCCCAGCCAAAGTGACCTCCTTGCTGTTCCTCACACATGGCATTCTATTGCTAGTTTCTGTGCATTTGTATAAGCTGAATCCTGTCTCCTTACCTCCTCTTAGAATCTGTAATTTCTTTAAAAACTAAGTGTCATCTCCTATATGAGGCCTTTTTCTGATCCTATCAGTAGTGAGTACCACCTTCCTCTGAAGTTATCTTTTCATATATTTATATTGATGCTTATTTTATATCCACTTATATATATACATTTGGTTTTTCCTAGTAAAGAACGGGGGTTTTGTTTGTTTGTCAAATTTTGTACCCCAGTACAGGACTGTCAGTATCTGACAGTACATATCAGGCTCTAATAAGTACTTGCTGATTATCAATAGGAAAAAGTTTTTTATCCCCAGAGGTCCTGATTCCTTCGATCTCTCCCTGAAGATCATGATGAATGTTGACTGGCCGGATGATTTAAAAGAGGAAAATCACCTGGCTTCTCAAAGGTCCCCAACTAATGTGAAGGGTCAAATAACAAAAAAGCATTGGCCAACAAGATAAATGAGGTAAAATAAAAATGATTAGTGCCAATTTCTCTTTTGAAAAAACTTTCCTATATAAATACTAGTATTTCACTGGTAACATAAAAAAAAAATAAACCTATGGTCTATTATGCACACATGATTTTTACATAGATTCTCTACGAGAGGTTTTTGGGAAGACATGGACAATAAGCCCAAGAAATGAAAAGGCATAGATGGGTGGTAATATGTAGCCTTGGAGGGTGTACCCATGTCAATGATACAATGGATCCATTGGAGTATTGAGCAAGTGTTTGTGTAGACATTGCAATTAACAAACGGTTGGTTCCAAATCCTGCTGTTCTAATTATATATTTAGTAGATGCTTGATGGAATTAGAAACTAATGTAGGAATTACCTTGAAATATTCCATTCCTTGACTCACTGAAAGTGAAATAGACAATTTGGTTTCTAATCCAATACTCCTATTATTTGTTTCTTAATTATTCATTTCTTCATGAAAATTTTGGAAGACTCTTAATGCAAATGTAAATTTTTATTCCAGAGCCAATCCCCTAGGTCCTGTCCTATTTTGGCTTGTCTTCCCTGCATATTTTCACATTTATTCATTCAGTAGTCTACATGTCACCTGCCCTGGTCAGGCCACATCTCATGTAGTGTGTCCAATTGTGGCAGCCATATTTTATGAATGGCATTTATAAGCATGGGACAACCAGGTAGTAGAGGTATCATAAGAGTCTAGATTTACAGTTTAAAGAGTCCTTAGAGACCATCTAGTCCAACTCCTTTATCTTATAAGTGGGGACTCCAAGGTCTAGAAAGGTTAATGATTTGCTCAAGGTCAGAACATTTGGAAAGCCAGGATCAAAAGCCAGGTCCTCTGACTCGAAATCCCCCACTTTCTCCATTGGACCACAATGCCTGGAGATCATCTCTAATAAAGATGAGTTGGAAGAACAGTTGATGGTTAAGTGGAAGAAGAGAAAACTTAGAAGACTTGAAGGTCAGGACATATTGTAAGCTCTTCAATCTGTTATTTTGTTTATTTTTCCTTTGGTTTATTTCTTTGTGTTATGTCAGATTCCCATTTGTTTAAAAGGAAAAAAGCAAGCAGAATTATTAACTTATTCAGGACTTCAAAAAAGAGAAGGAATTGGACTAGATAATTCAGCTCTTAGGGAGGGATAGGATAGTGGTCTTTAAGCAGCTGAAAGGTGGTTATGGTAATGGAGGTTTAGATTTGTTCTTCTTCCCCTCAGGGGGCAGAACTAGGAATGATCCTTTGCAAAGAGACGTATTTTCCTATGCTTTGTCATTCTCCCTTCTGTCTTTCAACAAATCCTTGATTTCAAATGTTCTGTTCAATAAAAAACATGTGAAGCAAATCATATAGCATCAATCAGTGTTTGTTGATTGATTCATAGGATCATAGCATTTATCACTGGACAGAACTTTGGACAGCATTTACTTCAATATCCTAATTTTACAGATAACTGAGATCTGCAGAAGGTAAGATATTTGCCCAAGGTGACTTGCCCAAGGTCATACTAGTTAGTAAGTGGCAGAAACAGGATGCTAAGTCCACTTTTAAAAAACACAAAATCCATTTCTTTTCCCTCACAATTTCATCTCTCCAATTCACTTATTTATTGAAGAAATATATACATATACATATACATACATACATATAAATATATATATATATATATATATATGTATATTTCCTTTGAGAGTCCTAGTCTATACAAATCAGACAGGAATTAAGGAATTTAATAACAGCCAGAGCTACCATGAGAATTACTGAGTGTTCTAATACTTAAGAGAAACCATATCGCACGTAGTTTTTAGAGAAAGGAGCTGTACTGAGGAAAGATGAAGAGCAGGGGGTGAGGTATGGTCTGCCATAGTGGAAATGAGTAAGAGACTAGAGCAAGGTAGGCTTTGAGAGTGGCCACCTACTTTTTAGACCTTTACTACCAACAAATTTGGCACAAGCCACTCCTGGTGGGTCAAGAAAGGTTACAGCAAGTGAACTTACTTATGTATGAAGATTTTTCAGCTTTACCTTTTCCATGACCCCGGTCTTCTCACTTTGGCCACATGTGGTTACCACAGCCAAGAAGTAGCTACATGAGAGCAGCTAGGTGGTGCAGTGGATAGAGCTCAGTCAGGAGGGCCTGAGTTCAAATCCAGCCTCAAACACTTAACACTCGCTAGCTGTGTGACCCTTGGAAAATCACTTAACCCCAATTGCCTCACCAAAAAAAAAAAAAAGCAAAAAAAAAAAAAAGAAGTAGCTACATCTAGAAGAGAGGGTGATTAAATCATCAGTTGAGAGCTGAAAGGCACCTTTGAGGTCATTTAGTCCAATTCTTTTTTTTTTCTTAATGTCCTGAAAAGAGTCAATACTTTTGCTTACTTTCTTTTTCTTTTAAACAAATGGAAATTTGGCAGAACATAAAGAATTCACCCAAAAGGGAAAAGCACAAAATAGCAGATTTAAGAGTTTAAAATATGTCCCAAACTTAAAATGTGTTTTCTAATATGGCTGATATCATGATGCTAATGGTATATGAACAGAACAATTCTGCATGGAGTGAGTACCAGTTTCAAGAAGATCTGGATGGTGTTTTGCCTGGAAGAGGACATGTTGGTCTATAGAGATGTGTAAAATCATAGCTAGGAGGAATTTTAGACCATGGAATGTCAGAGCTGAAAAGGAGCTTAAAACATGAAATGGCAGGGCTGGGAGGGACCTTAGAACACAGAATACAAAACTTTGGAACTATGAAAGATCTTAGAAAATGGAATGTTGAAGCAGGGAGGGACCTTAGAACAAGGAACACAGGACGTCAAATGTCAGATATCAGAGGTGGAAGTGACCTTAAAACATGGTAGTACTGAGGTGACAGTGAGGATAGAACTTCATACTTGGAGCCAGGAAGTTGTTGTTCAGTTGTTTTTCAGTCATGTCTGCCTCTCTGTGACCTTTTTTAGGCTTTCTTGGCAAAGATATTGGAGTGGTTTGCCATTTCCTTTTCCAGCTCATTTTACAGATGAGAAAATGGAAGCATAGTGGGTTAAGTGGCTTGTCCAGGGTCACGTAGCTAGTGTCTGAGGCCAAATTTGAACACATGAAGGTGAGTCTTCCTGACTCCAAGCCTGGCACTCTGTCCATTACACCACCTAACTAGTGAGTCAGGAAGAACTGAGCTCAAATTACTTCAAGATCCTCTTCCAGCTGTGTGAACCTGAGTAAGTTACAAAATCAGCCTGAGCTTCCTCATGCATAAGATAAGGATAATAACAGTAGCTACCTGACAGGGTTGTTGTAGTAATAGGTCCCTTTCCCTTTTTTGGATATCTTTGGGATATAGACAGCAGGGGTATTGTTGGGTATGCACAGTTTTATAGTTCTTTGGGTATAGTTTCAAATTGCTCTCCAGAATGGTTGGATCAGTTCAAAACTCCACCAACAGTGGAGTGTCCCGGTTTTCCCACATCCCTTTCAACATCCAACATTTGCTTTTGCATCACATAAGCTAATCGGATAGGTGTGAGGCAGCACCTCAGAGTGGTTTTAATTTGCATTTCTTTAATCAACAGTGATTTAGAGCATTTTTTTCATATGACTTTAGATAGCTTTGATTTCTTTGTCTGAAAACCTCCTGTTCATTTTCTTTGACCATTTATCAATTGGGAATGACTTGTATTTTTGTAAATTTGAATTAGTGTTCGATATATTTGAGAAATGAGGCCTTTATCAGAAATACTTGTTGCAAAAATTTCTCCCCAGTTTTCTGCCTTCCTCATAATTTTGGTTGCATTGATTTTGTTTGTGCAAAAACATGTTAATTTTATATAATCAAAATGCTCTATTTTACATGTGGTAATGCTTTCCATATCTTCTTATTCCTAAATTCTTCCCTTATCCATAAATTTAACAGATAAATTACTCCATGCTCTCTTAATTTTTTTATGGTATTACCCTTTGTGTGTAAATCATGTACCCATTTCCACCTTATCCTGATATGTGGTCTGAGATGTTGGTCTACACCTACTTTCTGTTTTCCCAGCAGTTTTTGTCAAATAATGTGTTTTTGTTCCAAAATCTTGGATCTTTGGGTTCATCATATGCTAGATTACTATGATCATTTACTATGATGTAATTTGCACCTAATTTATTATATTGATCTATTACTCTATTTCCTAGCCAGTACCAGGTTGTTTTGATAATTACTGCTTTACAAACTGTTTGAGATATGGTATGGCTAGACCACCTTCTTTTGCATTTTTTTTCACAATTCCCTTGATACCTTGAGCTTTTGTTCTCTCAGATG